CACCACACTATGCTGAATAGTCAGCAGTGTTTGACCAAAAAACGACATGACCCCATGCCCTACCCTCCCTGTTTACCCATCCTTGCCCCAAGCAACTTTTTTTGTTTCCCCTGGATGAAAAAAGTTCTCAAAGGGAAACTTTCTGCCAATGAGGAAGAGGTGAAACAAAACATGGCAGAAGCACTAAAAGACTTCAAAATTGACGAGTTCAAAAACTATTTTGAGCAGTAAAAACAATTATCTCAATAGGTGTGTTGCATCCAACAGAGAGTACTTTGAAGGTGACTGAAGTTTAAACATGTAAGAAGAATAAATACTCAATTTTTAATCAATAAACCATTTTGGGGAGATCCCCCTTGTGTAGTACTTTGGTTGCACTCTTTGTTAAGCTTAGTTAGCTAGATTATTGTATATTTTATCGATTCTAAGATACAGTAATTTTTCACTTATTAGCTCTGAAATTGTAGTATGTTGTATAATTGATGGTATCTTAGAGTTACTGTCTCTAAATGGTAGTCTTGACATAGTTTTTATTATCTGCACATATCCAAAATGATGATGGCAATTCATAGTTTCATCAGTTCTTCTGAGATAATGTGTGTAGATAGTATTATATGTGTTGAGTTTAAATATGCTTGTATGTTGTCAAAAAGATGCACTGTGGTTTAGCATTGAAATAGTTGTAGAGGAACAAAGGGAAGACTTGCACTATCTGATTTCAAGACTCACTATCAGCTGTAGTAATCACATTGTCAGGATGATATAGAGAGAGACAAATAGATGGATGAAAATAATGGAGAATGCAGAAATGGACATACACTATTTTTGACAACATGTCAAGGCAATTCAATTGAGAAATGAGTCTTTTCAACACATGGTACTGAAACAAATGGATAAATAGGTCTCAAGACAATCCAATTAAACACAAGCAAAAGACTTAGCCACTTCACAAAAGAAGGTATGCACATGGCTAGAAAGCACATGAAAAGATGCTTAGTATCATTCGTCATTGAGGAAATAAATTAAAATTATGGTGAGATGAGATACTACTTCATACTCATTCAAGAGACTAAAATTCAAAAATCTAGAACTCTCATACAATTTTAGTGGAAGTATAAAATAGTACAGATGCTTCAGATTACTTCTGGCAGTTTCTTATACAGTTAGACACACCCTACGATCCAACATTTCTACTGAAAGGTATTTATTCAAGAGAACTGAAAGCGTATGTTCTCAAAAACACTTAAACAGGAATGTTCATTTTAACTAGCTGTAATAACCCAAAGTTTGTTAACTACTTTACTATAAACTGTCCTCCAAAATCCGCATGTTGAAATTTAATGACCAGTGTAAGAGTATTTGGAGGTGATATGATATGAGAGCTCTGCTCTTATGTATGGGATTAGGACATTTGTGACAGAGACCCCACAGAGCTTTCTTGCTCCTTCTGTTATGCAGAGGACACAGTGAAAAGGCTACTTTCTGTGAACCAGGAAGTAGGCCCTCACTAGACATCAAATGGACTAGCATCTTGATCTTGGACTTCCTAGCCCCAAGAACTGTGACAATAAAATTTCTGTTGTTTATAAGCCACCCAGTCTATGGTATTTTTGTTATAGCATGCAGTACATACTAAGATAAACCCGTACGCGTACCAGCAGGAAAAATAGACTTATACTTAGCAATGAAAAATAATGAAAAAAAGAAAGAAAAAGAATGAACCTGCTGATAATGCTCCACAGCATATATGATTATCACATTCAATTAAATGAAAGAAGCCAGTTACAAAAGAACACATCCTGTTTGATTCTGTGTATATAAATCCCCAAACAAAGCTGATATGTGGTGATGGAAAGCAGAATAGTAGTTCCCTATTGAGAAATGGAAGATGGAAACTGACTGAAAGGTATATTAGGAAATGATCCGGGTAGATGCACGTGTTCTTTATCTTGATTGGTATGGTGCTTACACTGGGTATACATTTATCAAAACATGTATTTGTGCATTTCACTTTATATGAATTTTGTGCCAGTAAAATGTAGTGGTAGATGCAAAAAATGTACTGAATTAAAGCAGGGGGGTGCACATTTGATATTTGTGAATTTGTTGTTGTTGGAGGAATGACCTCAATCCCTTTCTTGAAAAACAACAACCTGGTACTTTTTGCAACCTAAGAAAGAAGATAGCAGTAGTAGATGAAGCTGCATTGCTTGTTTTTCCTGAAATACGTACAGACCATTGCCTGTCACACACATCAGATAGTGTAGTCCAAGCCAGGAGAAATAGCTAGTTCTTTAGAGGGATGATGGCTTTGATTTATGTAGAATTTCACAGTTTAATTGGCAGTATTTTTTCCTTCATACAGTACGTACAGTATAATGGTGTATCTCATAATCATTGATGTCTTAGATTTGATGTACTACAGTAGAGTGAACAGGTGAAATGTGTAGTGACTAGATGTGGAATACTAGTCTTTTTAGTGGACTCAAGTTTAGAAGAGGTTATAAGATCTATTATGTTATCAAATGAGATCTAGGCTGAAAAGCATTTTGAAATAAAGCTTTACTTTTACTGCTAACAGAGAAGGCTACTGTTTTAAGGAAATACCTAGATATAATCAGAAATGAAAATATTAGAGCATGTAGAAATTCTAGGAGTATGACAAATTTGAAAACCATCCTAGTGGCTGAGCACGATGGCTCATGCCTGTAATCCCAGTATTTTGGGAGGCTGAGACAGGAAGATCACTTGAGCCCAGGAATTTGAGACCAGCCTGGGCAACATAGAGAGACTTCATCTCTACAAAAATTCAGAAAAATTAATGGCATCGTGGCACGTGCCAGTAGTCCCAGCTACTCAGGAGGCTGAGGCAGAGGGGTCACTTGAGCCGAGGAGGTTGAGATTATGGTGCATGATCATGCCACTGCACTCTAGCCTGGGCAACAGAGTGAGACTCTAACTCAAAAACAGCAGCAGCAACAACAGCAAAAAGCCATGTTAGCAGTTCTGAACTTTAATAAAATGTGTCAGCCAATGTGTAAACATGCAAATGATATGTAACTCTTATTTCTTAGGCATGAGACATTCTAATAGGTGTATGATATACTTTTTAATTAGATATTGTAATAAACTTGTTTGTATGTGATTTATATTAAAAGCTTATAAGTAATGTTGTATATGTAAATTTATACTTCATGTATTAAAATGTCAGATGACAGAGAAGAGAGAGATGCAATATTAAAGAATTTAAACATTTTAAACCCCATTTAGGTATAGATGATTGAGATAAATTAAAGCAAAGTATTTTTCTTGGCAGTAAAATTCCTTTGTTCTATGTATCTGGAACATAAGGACAAGAGGGCAGGAACTGTGTTTTATTCAACTGTGTATATTATAATATTATATAACTTACAGAAAAATGTATTGCACATCCTATTCACTTAAACCATTTTTGTTAGATGTAGTTTTTTATTAGAAGTCACTTTCCAACAATGTATGTATGTTAATGTGTGTTTCATTATTCAAAGTATTAGTATTGTCTTTGGCATTTTCCAAGTGAGCTTGATGAAAATAAAATAGCCAAAGTCATAGGGAGCAAATGATTATCTAGAGGAAATTTTAAGATAATATGGAAATTTTAACGTTTTTAATAAGATTTGAAGTGGATGTGAGAACAATCAGAAACAAAGTTTATTGTTATCACTATCACCATATACTAAAGACTTTCAAGACTATAAAATTTTTTTATTTGAGTTGGAGTCTCACTCTGTCGCCCAGACTGGAGTGCAGTGGCCGCTCCCGGCCACCGCAGCCTTGACTTGCTGGGCTCCGGCAATCCTTCTGCCTCAGCCTTCCAAGTAGCTGGAACTACAGGCGCACGCTACCACACCCGGCTAATTTTTTTTTGATTTATTGTAGAGATGAGGTCTCGCTGCCCAGGCGGGTCTCGAACCCGCGGACTCAGGCAAACCACTCACCTCAGCCTCCCAAAGGCACGGGATTACAGGCTGAGCCACCGAGCCCGGCTAAGACTATAAGATTAATATAATTATCTGATGAGTCCAATATGTGCTACTGAAATTTTTCAGGAAACTGTACCATGTGTAAGCTTTCCTGCATCTGTTTTGCCCTCACCCTTTTATCTCTTCTTAACTTTAGAAGCAGAATAATACTCTTAATGCAGTAATTATATTGCTCCATTTAATTGGAGGGACTAGACCATAGCTAATAAAATATGCGAGTAGACTGTTAGGATTATGTATATTTAGAAAATAAGACTGTTTTAAAAATACTTTGTGAAAACTAGCAAGTTCTAGTGCTGGCAATAGCTCTTCAGATTGCTAAATTATTTTAAAGAATATCTGTTTTGAAAGTTGAACCACATAAGTAGAGTTGATAAATACTGCTAGTTGATAGCGCTAGCAGTAATCCTAAAATACACTATTAGCTGTGCTAATTTAATTTTCCTATTTTAAAATTTTCATAGCATCTCTGAAGTTGGATGGAATTTTTTGTGATTTTGCTAAAGCACAAAATATGAAAAAGGGTGTTTTGTGAAGCTTTTGGATAGGTTTCTGCTTCTTCATCCAGTGAAGAAGCCTAACTGGCTATAACAGCAACTTCATTTCAAGAGGTCTTTTGATTTTTAGTAAAGTTTTTCTTTATCATAAAGTTTTCCTCTAATCGCATTTAAGAAATTAAGGATGATTATAGAGAGTGCTGGCTTAATGGATATTGATTGTGTGTTTACACAAAAACACACATACCCCCTAATACCAACACTAGTTTAGGGTTTAAGTTAGTTAACTCGAGTTGTATTTGGCATACAGGGGAAAGACTCATGCTCTCCAAGCATTATGATCTACACTTGCAGATCAGGTTTATTTAAAAATAAACATGTTTGGTTTAAACTATTAATGTTTAAACATCTCACAATATATTTTCCTGTTTTCATCACTTTAAATACATTTGACTCTTTCTCATCTCTGTTTTTTTCAAAGATTTGTCCCATCAGATGAAAAGAAGAAACAGGGCTGTCAACGTGAAAATGAAACGTTAATACAGAGAAGAAAAGACCAGATGCAACCAGGGGGCACTGCAATTAGTGTTACAGTACCTTATAGAGTAGTAGACCAGCCCCTTAAACTTATGCCTCAAGACTGGTAAGATAGTCTATATAAATTTTGCTCTTTTTCACAATTGTTGAACATAAACAGATGATTTGTGGTGATGGTGTTTTTTTTAAGGTATAGAGCCTTGCTGTATTGCCCGGTCTAAACTCTGGCGCTAGTGATCCTCTTCCCTCACTCCCGTGTACCACCACTCCCAGCAGCCTATTTATTTAAAATATTCATTAATTTTCTGTATATTGTTGGGGTTTTTTTTCTTGTGTGAACAAATATCAAATTTTATCATGGGTTCTAAGTAGAAATATCCTTGAAAATTGTATTGCATCATGTAGATCTAATTTGGTCATCAATAATGTTTGCATTCTAGTAATACCTAAATAATCTGTATACCTATATTTTGAATAGGTAACCTAAATATGTATATTTTGCTTAGGTAAACTTAATTTTATGTATGAGAAGAAACACACTACCCTCTGGAAAACCTAGAGTATAATAAGTTATTTTCATTTGTTCATTTGTTCTGAATCAGCTTTTAGAACACAACAAATTAGATTAATGTTTTAAAGTCCTCTACTTAAAATTTTTGGTTTGGAGAATTCGGATTTTTTTGGTAAGAAATAAGTGAAGGCATGGTTACTTTTATTATAAGGGAATGATTTAATAAAAATAACACAATCACCTGGTTTATCATGGTTTAGCTCTTTTATTGCATTGAAATGTTCTTTAACAAACTATTAAGTTGTTTGTAATATAGTGTCTATAAATCCATATACACAAATTATTTGAAATTATTAAGCTGGAGTATGTATCTGTGATATAGAGAATGCAAAACATGACACATTTGATGAAATTTACCTGTGAATTACTTGTTAGTTTTCAGACATGAAGAGGTCTAAGTATTGAAAATACTAGTTGTTAAAAATTTACGGACAATAAAGGATTACTTCATTATAATTTTGTCCTGTTGTCAAATATACTTTGAGTAATATATAAAATACATAAGATGAGAATTTCAGATATCAAACTTAACTTTTCAAGTAGGAAAGTTATACCATTTGTATTATATATTTGCAGTATTTGCAGGAAATAATAATGTAGTGTGTACAAGTACCATCCCTATGCTATAAAATATTGCTTATGTATATTAGCTAGGGTCTGTAGCCATTGGTGTCACGTTCTAGGAATAACATTTTCTCTCCCTTCTTCTTTTCTTTTCCTTTAATTGTCCTTTCAAGAATTCATGGGGAGTAACATTTATATTATCCTTCTTCCCTGCTGATCCTTTGAGACCCATGACCTCTATCCAGCAAATTCCCTTTAGTTTGACAGGCACCTTGGTCTTCCAACTGCTGTATGGTACAAGTTACATCATAAAATTGAGGGATTATTTAATAGTGTGTTGCATTGCTAAAGAGAATTTTGACAGTTTAGGGTTTGTATCCCATGAAAAGGGAAATTTTTTTCAACTTCAGATTTAATTTTTGCCTCAGAGATTTCGAGCAGGGTAAAAATTTGAAGCTTGCTGTTTTTCACAGCAACTTTGATAGCTGCTGTAGGTCTTTTACTCAAATATACTATAACTCTGGTCTAATGTTTTGTTGGGATAGGTGCTTTATCTAATGCATTGGTTATTATATATATAATATAAAACATATATTTTATACATATGTGTGTGTATATATATATATATATAAAGCACAGACCTCTGAGCATTCCCAGGACCCCTTTCATGAAGTTGCAAGGCCAAAATTACTTTCATAATAATATTGAGATGGCTATTCTCACGATTTATCTGTCCTTAAGTAGGAACAATAGCATACCCAGTGCCTGAGATTAATCATTTATTCTCCTCCTTCCTTCCTTTCCTCTCTTCTTTCTTGTTTCTCCTCTTCTCCCTTTTTCTCTTCCTACTTTCCTCTTCTGTTCTGTGGTATGTCCATATACTTGTTTCCTCATCTGTAAAATGAAGGTACTAGTAGTATTCACCTCACTGGATTGTTTGAAGATCAAACATATAATAACATCATAAGTGATGCCTAAAGTGCTTTAAAACAACAACTGGCACATAGTAAACGCTCAGAGTAAATGTTACTAATGTTAAACAATATTATTGATGTTTTTGTTTTATTCCCATTGCTTTAGTTGTTGGCTTAAACTACTTATTGGCAGTATTATAATTTCTCCATTAAATATTGTATAGAATAATGAACTACAAGGACCTTCAAAGAGATTGTTCCTTCCAGGAAAACTAGGTGGAATAGTTGAAAAAATAAGTTGTCTTTGAAAAAAAACAAAAACATAGAATTGAGCGTGAGTGAAACAATTGAAAAAATTATAAAAGTCTAGATGGTTTTCATACTCAGATTATTTCCTAAGTAATTAGAAGGACTCAAAAATAAGGCCTTGGGGCTTTATAAAATGGTTGATAAGTTACTGTAACATTTTTAATTAAAATAAAATATTTGAGATATGTTTGCAGTTTTAGATTTTTTTTGAAAAAACAACTCTTTTGATTAGTGGATCAACTACTGTTCCCTATTGCATTGGAAAAGTCAGCCAACCCCCTACTCTAATTAATAGAAGAGAAGAGAAAAAGCTTAAAGACTATATACAAGTGTTGTCAGTGTAATTAAGTTTACAGACTTAAGTACAAAAACCAGATGCATGAGAAGTATAATCCTTGGTATGCTTTAATGACAGCATCATATTGAAAAGTTGGTAATGTACTTACTGTATTTGCCTCATAGAAGGATTGATAGGAGACTATATTGCATGAATAATCGTGAGACTCTTGCCATAGGGATTTACAATAATTCAATCTCAAGTTTGAGATAATCTACCTCTGTCTTCCCCATCCCACCCAACCCCTTTTCTACGTGTAGGGACCGAGTTGTAGCAGTTTTTGTGCAAGGTCCGGCATGGCAATTCAAAGGTTGGCCGTGGCTTTTGCCTGATGGATCACCAGTTGACATATTTGCTAAAAGTAAGGTTTTCTTTGTATTTACTGTTTATTCTATATATAAATGTTTTCACTTTATTTAAAAGAAAGTGTCATATATGATGTGTATACCAAAGGATTACTAAGTGACATATATAATGTTAATTTATGTGAGGTACTTTAAAGGCTTTTTTGTGCTTTCTGTGTGGCTATATCTAAGAGTGCATACTGTCTATTTTATAACATTAATACTTATTTTTTAGATCACTTAAAAGTGATTAAAACTGTTGCATGTCCATACGTTTTTATTAAAATTGATATCAGTTTTAATGCCTTGACTTTGTAAGAACAGAAATATGTAGCCATAACTTAAAGTGCTGTAAGGAAATTTACTGGCTATTCTCATCATTTGGAATGATTATAGCACGGTTGGTTTTTTCTCTTCATTCCAATATTAGCTCATGTGTTCTTTCTTTAGAGGATTCTTCTCTGGCCTTCCTCTTTGAAATAGCCATCACCTCCTCCTAGTTGCTCTCTAAGCTGTTTTGTTTTCTTGTTGCTTAACATTTTCTACTTTATATAATTATTTTAAGTGTTCCTCAGCCAGACTGCAACTTCCACTACAGCATAGGTCTTCTCTGCCTTATTCATTGTTGAGTCCTCAACACAAGAGTGAATAAATTATTTCATGCAGCTTATAAATGTATTAAACATGTTGGCATATGTTGATATAACAAAAATAGATAAAGTTAGCCCTTTTATTTGCTGGAAGTGGATGATGTGACATTTATTTAATTGGAATATTCAACTAAATTAGTAACATTAGTAAAATTAATTTTTAAAAAGTCTCATGAACCAAATATGTTTATTAGAAATAACAACTCTAGTTATTATGAATGTTAGTTGTACTACTGTGAAATATCCAGTGTTTTTTTAGCAACCCTAGTTTTTGTTAGTGGTACCACCAGTTTTCCATAGAAACTTCTCAAGCTTGAAAATTTTAATTATTTGTCCTACTACTATCTACATTCCTTTAAAGAAATGAGTTAAATATTATTGACATTATGATAGTTTTTTTTGTTATTCCTGAAACTTGAGTAATACACAAAGAGTTGGTAAATAGTTGAATCATTAGAATGGGTATTTTAATAAAAGCAAAATGTCAGTAAATGCAAATGCAAAACACAGGTTTTGCCAACTTGCCTTTTTGAATAGTGTTATAATAAATGATTAGGATGTCTTTGAGATGTAAATGTTGCCTCAGTTTTATTAAGATTGTTAGTCTTCTAACATTTAGATAAAAATTTAAAGAATTTCCTTTTCAGAGTAATCTGTGATTTTCTTTCAGGAAGTATTCTTTTAACATTTCTCCTGCACTTCTTTCGCTCAACATGTAGGAATACTCTTTCCCCTTCCATCTTAAAACAAACAGCAAAACAGAACCCTTACCCGTGACCTCATCCTTTCTCTCTGTCTTCTTCTTTTTCCTTTTACAACTATACTTTTAAAAGAATTGTGTTGGGAAACTCCTTCGGGTCCCTTCCCACTATGGGAGCTTTTCTGTCCTCTCAATAAATCCTGCTTTCTTAAAAAAAGAATTCTCTCTACTAATTCACCATTTAAATCCATTGCTCGCCACTAAGACTTTTCCCACCAAAGTAACCTGTGAGCCAAGTATTGAATACTTGTTGACTTCTTATCAGAGTTTGACTCTGTTGACTCGTTTTCTCATTTTTAAAAGTTATTTTCCAAGTATTTATTATATTTTACTCAGATTCCCTTGCCACTTATCTTCTGACTATCAACTACAGTTGACCCTTGAATGATGTGGTTGGAGGGGAGGGGAATATAATTGGGATGCCCCTCCTCCCCACTGTGAAGTCAAAACTCGCATGTAACTTGAATTCCCCCAACTTACCTACTGATAGCACACTATTGGCTGGAAGCCTTACCAGTAACATAAATGGCTGATGAACGTGTATTTTGTACATCATATGTGTCATACTCTGTATTCTTACAATACAGTAAACCAATGAAAAGAAAATGTTATTTAAGAAAGTCATAAGGGAGAGAAGATGCATTTACTATACTATTCATTAAGTGGAAATGGTTCATCATAAAGATCTTCAGCTAACCATCTTCACATTGAGTAGGTTGAAAAGAGAAGAAAGAGTTGGCTTTGCTGTCTCAGGTGGGAGAGGTGGAAGAAAATCAACCCATAATTAGACCTGCATAGTTCAAACCTGTGTTGTTCAAGAATCAGTTGGGTGTATTCATGTCCCCATTTCTCATCTCCCTTAATTCCAAATGCCCTCTTAAGGAGACCTGATAGCTTTCCGTTACTGTCTGTATCTCCTTATTCTAAAAATCATGTCTGTAGCTTGATATTCTGGACATGTGTATCTCAGTAACTACCAGATAACTCTTCTGTGATATCTTATTGGTACATTAAACTTAACCTGTTCCTAATGGAATTGATTGTCTTACTCTTTTTTTTATTCTCCAAACTATTTTTTGTCCTCAATTAATTTATTACAGTAATTTGTCTAAGCCAGAGATTTAGGATATTATCTCTTAGCTTTTAGTTGATCGCTCTGCTTTCACTCTTGTGACTTCCAACCCTTTTCTCTATCATAATACACATGGAAAATGATATATCTACATAGCATAGGGAGAAAACTGAAGGTATTTGGGAGCATCTCTCTGGGCCTTGATAAAAATTATGTTTTCTTAATGTTACATAATTATGATAATTAAATACAGTCTTGGAGAATATATTAAATATTTAGTTGCATAAACTTGCCAAATAAAATCTTTACAAAATTGTAAGTTTGAGCTTGTATCTGGATATAACTTTTTAAAAAATTATGCTCAAAATTTAAAAAATTTTTTATTGATACATAATATTTATATATATTTATGGGGTACATGTGATATTTTGTTACATGGATAGAATGTGTATGATCAAATCACAGTATTTAGCATATTCATTACCTCCAGTATTTGTCGTTTCTGTGTATTGAGAACATTATAAGTCTTCTAGCTACTTTGAAATATATAATTTGTTGCTGTTAGCTGTAATCACCTTACTCTACTCTGCTATCAAGCATTAGAACGTCTTCTGTTTAACTATTTTGTACTCATTAACCAGCCTCTCTTTTCACACCCCCGCCACCCATTCCACAGCTTTTAAGCATCTGGTAGCCGTCATTCTACCATCTACCACCATGAAATCAACTTTCTAGCTTCTTTATATGAGTGACAATGTGTAATATTTGTCTATAATTGCTTAGCACAATGGTTTCCACTTCTATCCATGTTGCCTTGCCACAAATGATAGGAATTCTTTTTAGTGGCTGAATAGTATTCCATTCTGTGTGGGTTTTTTTGTTTGTTTTTGTTTTGTTTTGTTTGAGTCAGGGTTTCACTCTGTCACCCAGGCTGGAGTGCAGTGGTATGATCATGATAATGACAACTTCCGGCAGACTCAACCTCCTAGGCTCAGGTGATCTTTCCACCTCAGCATCCTGAGTATCTGGAACTACAGGCACACACCACCATACCTGCCTAATTTTTAAAAATTTTTTTTGTAGAGATGAGGTTTTGCTGTGTTGCCCAGGCTGGTCTCGAACTTCTAGGCTCAAGCAATCCGCCCACCTCAACCTCCCAAAGTACTGGGATTACAGGCTTGAGCCACTGCGTCCAGCCCCATTTTGTGTTTATGCCACATTTTCTTTATCCATTTGTCCATTGATGGACACTTAGTTGATTCTGTATCTTTGCTATTTGTACTGCAATAAATATTGGAGTGTAGGTATGCTCTTTGATAAACTAATTTTCTTTGCTTTAGATAAATGCCCAATAGTGGGATTGCTGGATCTTATGAGAGTTTTATTTTTAGTTTCTTTGTGAAATCTCCATATTGTTTCCTTAGTGACTGTACTAGTGTATATTTGCACCAACAGTATATAAAAGTTCTCTTTTCGCTGTATCCTCCCAGCTTCTTGTAATTTTAGGTTCAGAGGGTGCATATGCAAGTTTGTTACATGAGTATATTACATGATGGTGATGTTTGGGCTTCTGGTGAACCCATCACCCTAGGAGTGAGCATACTACACAACAGGTTATTTTTCAACCCTTGCGCCTCTTCTTCCCCCCACCAGAAGTCCCCAATGTTTTTTCTTCTCTCTGTGTCCGTGTGTGTCCAGTGTTGAGCTCTCACTTATAAGTGGGAAGATACGGGATTTGGTTTTCTGTTTTTGCATTAATTTGCTTCGAATAATGACTTTCAGCTGCATCCATGTTGCTCAAAGGGCATGGTTTCATTCTTTTTTATGACTGCATAATATTTCATTGTGTATGTGTGGCATGTTTAAAAAAATCCAGTCCACCATTGATGGGCACCTAGTTTGGTTCTATATTTTTGTTATTGTGAATAGTACTGCAATAAACATGAATGCAGGTGCCTTTTTAGTAGAACAGTGTATGCTCTTTTGGGTATGTATTCATAGTGGGATTGCTAGATCACATTCATTCTTTGAAAATCTCCAAACTACTTTCCACAGAGGCTGAACTGGTTTACATTCTCTCCAACAGTGTATGAGTGTCCCCTTTTCTCTGCACCCTTGCTAAGATGTGTTTTGTTTTGTTTTGTTTTTACTTAATAATAGCCATTCTAGTGTGAGATAGTATCACATTTTGGTGTTGATTTGCATTTTTCTGATTATTAATGGGGTTGAACTTTCTTTTTTAAAATGTTTGTTAGCCTCATGTATGTCTTTTGAGAAGTCATCTGTTCATGTTCTTTGTTCATTTAAAAAAATTTTTTTATTTTAATGATGTGAGGTACAGCCAAGTGTGGTATCTCATGCCTATAATCCCAGCACTTTGGGAGGCAGAGGTGAGAGGATTGCCTGAGCCCATGGGTTCAAAACCAGCCTGGGTAACATGGTGAGACCTTGTGTCTACAAAAAAAAAAAAAAAAAAATTTAGCCTGCTATGGTGGTGCATGCCTGTAGTTCCAGCTACTTGGAAGGCTTAGGCAG